ATGCTCTCTCTCCTCATGCTCTCTCTCCTTATGCTCTCTCTCCTTATCCTCTCTTTCCTTATGCTCTCTTTCCTTATGCTCTCTTTCCTTATCCTCTCTCTCCTTATGCTCTCTTTCCTTATCCTCTCTTTCCTCATCCTCTCTCTCCTCGTCCTCTCTCTCCTCATCCTCTCTTTCCTCGACCTCTCTATCCTTATCCTCCTCTCAATATTTTATGGCCAATCAGTGAACATAAAATGAATAATTTAAATAACGGAAACAAATTTTAGGAAACAAAAAGCACAAGGTGGAGTCGAACTCCGGTCTCCTGGGTTAAAGTCCTGTTTGTTGGAGCCATCCATCCCACCAGTAGTCATCTTTGTTGGAGATTATAAACTTGTACTTGCTCTGACTGGAGTTTAGTCGCGTGGATGATTTTAATTTGTTTCCAGCATGAATTCTGTGCTTTGTGTTCACGTTATCTTGTAAAATGGAGTTTTTGGGATGAAACTTGAGGTGGCTAATCAGGGATTAATGAGGAATTTGCAAAAACCTCAAATGCTATGTAGGAGTGTGTGTTGAAGTGCATTGTTTTGTTTCTGAATATCTGTCCCTGTGACTTCCCGACTGATTCAATTGGCCGTAAACCTGCAGTGACTCGGCTCTTCTCTAGTGAGTCAGCACCGATGAATCAGAGCAGATGTCTTCGTGCGTTCGGTGAACTTATCGAGAAGTATTGATTCTGAATCTGATGTGAGAAAGTAGATCAGAGTGGAAGGAAAGGAAGCGAGGAGGGAGGAAGGCTCAACTTCACCTAAATACAAAACGCTCTTTCTTTATTTAATGTAATGTTCATTTAATGAAAGATAATCACCGAGATAATTGTTTAACTTTTAATGTATTTTGGAACTTCCTGTGTTGCCGCTCAAGAAAGACTATTTGTTTACATACAAGAACAATAAAGAAATGTGGATTCTTTCCTTTATTATTTCTTTATTTAGCAATAGAACCGATAAGAGTATTGATAAGAGTACTAGTATTTATAAAATACTAACAATACCTAGAGGGAGTTAAACTACTTTATTATGTGGAGAAATAATTTTACTAAAAGCATCTGATCTGACTTTTTGATTCACTTTATGAAACGTTTTTTTCACCTTTTGAATCTTAATATTTAGAATAAAACGATGCTATTAAGTGTGTGTGTGTGTGTGTGTGTGTGTGCGTGCGTGTTAATCAGTATTAATTCATATTTGTTGTCTCTTTGATGCCAGATGAGACGATAGTGATCAACGTGTTCTGCGGCGTCGTGTCGGGAGTTCTTTCCTCTTCCCTGGCAAACCCCACAGACGTCCTCAAGGTGATCCTCAATGCTCAGACTATTTCTACTTATTTTCCGTTATACTTTTGCTACTTTAAACACAAAATATTAACGGGCTTTAAATTTCATTCTGTGGTCTTAAAAGGTAAAATATGTTGTTGTTTAAACCTGCAGAAACCCTGAAATGAATCAATAATTATCAGGTTCATCAGTTCATTGTTTTAAGTTATTGATCAAGAACATGTGCCCGTTATGTTTAAGAACTCATTTTAAAATCTAACAATACATAAACCTAAGTTCACATGCTCGGTTGTATTAATAGGGCTGACAATGGTTGTTGTTGTTGTTTGTTTGTCTGTTGTTGTTGTTGTTCCAGATCAGAATGCAGGCTCAGGGCAGTTTGCTCCAAGGCAGCATGATGTCCAACTTCATGAACATCTACCAGACTGAGGGAACCAGAGGGCTGTGGAGGGTGAGGGCTGGTTTACTGTGTGCATTATGTGTGTATTGTATTATATACAGTATATATGTATATATATATATATATATACAGTATGTATGTGAGTGGTGTTAATAAACAGAGTGACGTAGAGACCTGTCAATCACTGGAAAATAACACCTTTCAACAGCTCAAGTGTTCTTGTTCACATCTTGTTATCTGGTCGTATGAGCTTTTTGTTTGTCCAGTCAGACTTATTTTCTTCCTCCTCCTCTTCCTCAGGGTGTCATCCCCACAGCACAGAGAGCAGCCATTGTTGTCGGGGTGGAGCTTCCTGTCTATGACATCACAAAGAAGCACCTCCTTCACTCGGGCCAAATGGGAGACACTATTTTGACACATTTTATGTAAGTTTAAACTCTTTTTTTTTTTTTTTAGATGATCTCAGCTTTTGGGCCGATCCGTTCCCCTTTGTTCACTGTCTGGTTGTTTCGTACAGTTCTAGTTTCACGTGTGGTTTGGCCGGAGCGCTGGCCTCCAACCCTGTGGACGTGGTCCGGACCCGCATGATGAACCAGCGGGTTCTGTCGGGAGCCCCCATGTATAAGGGAACGCTGGACGGACTGACGCAGACGTGGAAGAACGAGGGCTTCTTCGCCCTCTACAAGGGATTCTGGCCCAACTGGCTGCGGCTGGGACCGTGGAACATCATCGTATCCTTTAGAACCGAAAAGAGTTCCTTCTGATCGCTTCTGGTTCTTTGAGACATTGTGGAATTCCATAATAGGAATATAAATGGTATCTGATCCATCCATTAATCTGAACTGTTAAACCAGCCCGACTCTAGCACCGGCCCGACTCTAGCACCGGCCCGACTCTAGAACCGGCCCGACTCTAGCACCGGCCCGACTCTAGCACCGGCCCGACTCTAGAACCGGCCCGACTCTAGCACCGGCCCGACTCTAGCACCGGCCCGACTCTAGAACCGGCCCGACTCTAGAACCGGCCCGACTGCACAGTGTCAAACATATATATGTATTATATGTTTCAATTTAACTCCCCCTTATGTTTATAGAGCCTTTACTTTGTAATTAAAATATTAATATTATTGCTGAACAAAATACACTTGTAGTGTTGTTTTGGTTGCAGTAAAGCCTTCGCCTGTTAGAAACCTTCAAAGAAACTAAAGACCACCATAAAGGTACCGTTCTGCTGGACCCGGTCCACAGAGAGAGTTCAGCACCACGGACAGCGCCGGTGTCTTCAACCATTCATCCAAACTAAGATCACCATACACGTCAAAATGAACTGCAAAACCACAGATGTTGTATGATTATTTTAGTGATGAGCAGACCAAGGAGATAGGGAGAGAGGGAGAGAGAAAGAGGGAGAAAGAGGGAGAGAGACAGATGAAGAGAGAGAGAGGGAGGGGTCTGGTTATCCTGTTTTCCTGTGTTCCTTCACCACCTGTTCCAGTTCTTCATCACATTCGAGCAGCTGAAGAAGTTCACGCTCTAAGCGGAGCAGGAAGTGACATCACTGGACTGAACAGAGCAGGAAGTGACCTCACTGGACTGAACGGAGCAGGAAGTGACCTCACTGGACTGTTGTTGGGTCAGAAGGTGTGAGCTCATTCAAACCAATGATGCAACACTATGTTTGGTCATGTCCCCCCATGCTCATCCAAATCGTATGTTTCTCACTCTCTTTGTTTGTTTGTTTGTTTCTTCACGATGTGTTTTTATTTATTGTCACTTTGTTGTGTTTATTCGTACTGTTGCTATGGTGATCTCTGTCACCATCAGACACTCCACCCGGCAGCTCAACGTTCTGTAGCAGAGACTGAAGATGACAGACTTTTGGTGGATTTGGTGAACTTTTGCATTTATTATTATTATTATTATTATTATTATTATTATTTTTAAACAGACACTTGTGATTGTTTCTTCTTCACAGATCTGGTAAAAAAACATTTAATTTCTTTAATAAGCGTTGCAGAATGTCTACGCCTAGTTTTAAAGACGGTAACGTGATATTGTCACGTGAATGACGTGTATGAACGCAGCATTTTGTCGGGTTAAACGGCGACACATTGACCGTTACAGGAAGCTACTGAACTGAGAGAATTACGACTTTGGGGATTAACGGTTAATCTCCGAATGGAAAATGTACAACAGCGTGTTGAGGAATAAAAAATAAATAAAGTACGAAGCTGGAGGAGAAACAACTCTGATATGAAGTCACACATTTTTGAACTTCGTCGCTCCTCAAGTAGCTTTTTTATGCTCGTGTTCTTTCATCAACAGAAATAGATAAATACTAATTTGATAAATATTTTTGGTTTACCGGCACCATCTGTGCTGTGAGGTTCAGCTAAAGTTCTGTTGTTCATTGACTAAATTAAAACGCATATTTATTTTTTGTAAATTCTGAGAAGATTAAAGTTTTTTCTCGTAGATTTTAATCTCAAGAGAATTGTGTAATTTATTTTATTTTTTATTTCCTATAATGGGTTCTCATGGGTTCTACACGTTCTTCTTTTGTACATCTAGGTGTAAAGAAAAGGTTCCTCCAAAATGCAGTTTTAATCTTGAGATGGGTCGAACACTTTGTGAGTTTTGTTCTGTTTATGATTTCTTCTGAACATCTGTGACTTAAAGTTTTACTTGAAACGAGTTTTAACGAGCCTCTTCTTCATCACACAACCAAAAGGTGTTCTTCCTCTTCTTCTTCAGTCCACATCAATCGCTCCTTTTACCTTTTTATTGTTTCTATAGATGCGTTTCTTTTATTCTCCTCCAGTCTGCAGCTTTGGAGGCTCGTCTCCCGTCGAGGTGGAAGTTGTTTCTCCGTGTTCTTGCTGCTTTGAGGTGAATAGAAAGAATCAGCTGATGTGAACAGGAAAGTTCAAAAGAAGCCAAAAACGTGTTTCTACCAAGCTGCTGACGTCTTCAGGAGATTTAAATTCATAACACACAATAAGTTAAGTTTTAAATGTTTTCTGTGAACACGTATCCGAACACATGCTTCTTATCATTTGTGAATATTTATTTGTTTGACGTCGCTCTTCATCCACCAGCATCACCAAAACATTGTCATGCTTCATTTAAGTATTTCTGTTTGTTCTGGAATCTGAAGGTTTTTATTTCGTCAACCTTATTTTTTATAGTTTGTCTTCAGATAAAATTCCTAAAATCATCTTGTGACTGAGAAAAGTCTTCTTTCTTCTGTTGTAGCGCGTAGTGTGGTTGAGGCTTAAAAGTTATTTCAAAACAAACCTGTTACAGCTTTACGTAGTTTTTTTACATAATGTCGCTCCTCTGATGAAATGTTCACAAAAAAGGATTGCGCTGCTTTTTTTACGGCCGCTAAAACTCTAAATTAACCAATTTTAAGGACTTTAAGTTTGATAAGAGATGTTTGTAAGAACAAGATTAGAAGGAGTCAGTGACGTATAATCAAGTGTCATCTGCATATATATAGTTCATATGTGGTGAGTAGAAAGAGACTAGAGCCTTGTTGTGTATCTACAGTCCCCTTTTCTTATAAAATGTTAATACGACATTTCAGACGCAGCCAAAAGACTCCCAACAGAAAAACAATTCTTTAGTTTTCACTCATATAAATCAACCAGTGGACTGAAATCTATTTCCTTCACTTATTTACCAGATAATCAAATCCCTTCACCATTAGTTTATGTCCCCTGTGAACATTTTGAGCTCTGATTTAGCGTCTCAGACTGAGCACAGCGTCACTGATGGAGAGTTTGCTCAGTTGAAAGCTCCAGAAAGTGGCCCTTGAGTCACGATTATTGTCAGGAGAGCGTAATATAATAAACAGTTTGGTGTGTGCCGCGTAATCAGGGTTTTAAACTGTCGATGTTCTTCTGTTGTTTAACAGTAGCTGTAGTTTGAAACGTGTCTGACTTCTCTTTTCTGTGCCTGAATCAAGTTTGAAGTTTTTTAGTCTCACGTTGAACGAAACTGATCAATTCAACACGATATTTATTGACTTATTGATTTCATATCGACGTCATTCCTCCAGACCTCACTCTGACAACTCTGCTACATTTAGTTTAATATTTTATAAATGAGTCCTTCATTTAGTTTTTGAAGTTGTTCGTGTTTTGTCCCACTTTTATGAAGTTCTTTCTGATTTTAAAACGATATAATATAACGTACATTTTCTCTTGACTTCTTTTGCACTTTGGTGAGTCGCTGCTGTCTGTAACCTTCATGCTTTATTGTTATATTCTATGGTGGGACCTCTTTCAGTGTTTTTTAGTTTATTTCCTTTTGGTTTCGGCTTTCTATCGATTCAATGTTCACTCAAATAAAATATATGCTTTAAATGTTTCTGTATCAACTTTGTGTCGTCTTTCTTTGTCTGTTTGAACAACGATCAACTTCCTGGATTTCAACATTTAAAGATAACTTTGTGTCTTAAGAGGAAACGTGTTAAATGGTCCGACTGGTGTCCGAAGGTGTTTTTTCATTTAGCCGATGAGCTCACTATATAGTCCTCTACATACTGAACTCTGGATAGCGAGTCGAAGGTTGTGAATGAGTGAGTGACGACCCAAGTTTCCAAGTTGTCTGTCCGTCCGTCCGTCTCGGATATCTCAGGAAAACATCCACCTGGACTCGAGGAATGTCTTCAGTTTGGCGGTGAAAAGCTCAAGAATTCATACGCAGTTTTTCATGTGGAGAAACTTTTACACCGACACATTTGTCTAAATGTAAATGAGATTATGTGAACACATAAAGGTTGAATTAAAAATAAATTAATAAAACATTTTTGTGAAACGAGCATCAACACATGTTTGTAATTTGGGTGAACCGACCCTTTAATGTTTACTCTAATCAATCACACACAAACACACACACACACAGCCATCAGGTGAACGAGCTGCAGGTGTGTGAGCTAGTCACACACCTGAACTGTGTTTCTATTAAAACCTTGAGAAGCTTCTGGAGGAAGTGAATGTTTTAGTGTCTGATGTTTGTGAAGGAGCTGCTGCTTCACAAACACACTTCCAGACTTATGTAGAGACACACACACACACACACACACATACATACATATATGTTTATATATGTTTTATTTTTATCCGTCATTAGAAATCTAAAGCTGAGTTCTCTCTAGAGCTCCAGCAGCAAATATGTTTGCTTAAGTTGCTTCCAGTTCGTTTTATGTTTTATTCTCCGTATAGTTTGTTTTTTAAAGTCCGGTTTAGTTAAACTCGAGCTCAGAGAGCCATGAAGGAGGAGATCGCCGCCGCCGTGTTCTTCGTGGCTCGGCTGGTGAAGAGATACGGACGTCTGGACAACGACGGCCGGGAGCGCTTCGCCGCCTCGCTCACCTCGGTTCTGTTCGAGAGCTACAAGAACCACTGGCACCCGAACGCGCCCTCCAAGGGTCAGGCCTACAGGTCAGATCATCATGCTTTACGGTCACAATGCTATGAATTGTGGGTAATTCCCTCAGGAGAAGTCTGCAGAAATGCGGATTTATGAAAACTGGTTCATAAAGTGCTCAAAAAGTCTGAGAGACTCAAAGATTTGACCGTCAGAACTAAACCCTCGGTGTGTGTAGACCTTTTTGACTTTGAGGCACGGTTGCGTTTTGTGCGGTTCCAGGTGTCTCCGGGTGAACCGGGTGCAGCTGCAGGACCCGGTGCTGCAGCAGGCCTGCGATGGGAGCCCGGTCCGGTACGAGGATCTGGGCCTCCCCCGGGAGATGACGGTGTGGGTCGACCCTGGAGAAGTGTCCTGCAGGTCAGAAGTCTTACTGCTTGTTGTGATCATCTTTCACCAAAAACTGCAGCTCTTCAGGATCGTTGTCTAAGAAGTGGTTCAGGACGTAACAAACCTATTTTACTGTCATTTCCATTAATGTGACTTAAAAAAGTGAGATACTATGTTCTCAATTGCTCAGCTTTAGATGTGGTGAGTTTGTTTTTCTGCTGCCAGTCTTTATGCTAAGCTAATCTGCTAGCGCCAGCTTGAGCGTACCAACGATTGGGAATCGTTGCCGGATGAAACATGCGAGTTAACTTTACATTTGGAATGTAGCTAGCTAGCTAAGCTAACGGCTTTGTTGGTGACGTAGTGAGACGACTAATTAATGGCACAATTCAAACGGGATCTAACATTACTTCTCTCTCGCTCATTGATGACCCTTCATATTTTCCGAGGACACCGGAAGGGGCGGGACTTAGCCTCTCATCTGGTTTAGATTTATTCTTTTCGTCTCTTCAGGTACGGTGAACGAAGCGCCCCGTTCTGCGTCTCGGTGGTGGACGGCTCCCGCCGTGCGGACGGTGAATTTTCCCGCCGGATCCACGAAGCCGTGGAGCGGGCGAGCCTCGACGTCCAATCGGGAAGCTCCTCAGACGATGACGACAAGGAGGAGGAAGTGGGCGGAGAGAACAGCATGAGCAGCTCCAACCTGTCGGCCATTTGTCCGGTTTCAGTTGCAACCGGCAACACTGAGCCCAAAACCATCCCGACCGTCAGCAACCCCAACAGCGTCTACCGGGTGAGACGCTTTATTTACTCTACAATGCACAGATGTGGTAGAAATTATTATTTCAAAATGTTAAACATTTCACCAAATGACCCGTCAGGGTTCATAGAATCTCATTTGTTTCTATAACCTCATGAAGAGGAAACACTGCAGGTGAATACAACTAATCCCACCATGAGACTTCCCCAGGTCATAACGCGCATTAAGATGATTATGTTTTGCATTGCAGGTTTTCTGAAATGTTTAAAATATACAAATGAGGCATTATGTAATGGTAACTTTTGGTGGATTTAGGAGAAATCTACAGACACAAATGGAGAAAGTAGCTGAATAAAGTTGCACAGGAACTCGGAATTAAAACACACTTTTACTGGAAGATGAAGCGGTTGCTTTGTTGTTGAAGTATTTGGACGTTCAGTGACAGGCTGTGCAGCCCCGTTGACCTCCAGTCATTTACAGCTAGAGTTAATAAAGGTAGTTGAAGGTTTTTGACTTTGTTTCTTTTGCTTCGCTCGTCCTCAGTTCAGTGAGTTTTCTCCGGGCGCTCCTCAGACCTGGCTGAGGGACAAGAGGAAGGCCTTTGCTGCCGACGCGTTCCCGCCTCACCCTCCTCACCCTCCTCACCCTCCTCCTCCGGTCGGTGGTCCCACCTCCCAGTTCTCCAGCCAGAAAGGCTTAAAGTCCAATCGAGCCACGTTCACCTTCGCCGGGCCTCGTGTGGACAAGTACCACTGGGTCAGCAAAGCCCGATGAGAGCCGAGCCTCCGGAACCAAAATCAGGTTTATCAACGCGGCGTCGACCCCCGCTTGAGGGGGGGGAAAAAATATAATGGACAGTTTAGGAAAAAGAGTTGACTGTTTGTATTTGATTTAAAGTGTTAATGATTTAAAGTAATGCTGTTTAAGCATGTTTTTAAACGTTGACGTATTTTAAATGATTATCTGTGTTTTGTTTTTAAACTTAATATTAAAGTGTGAATAAAGTAACATTGAACTGTCATTGAAAAGAAATAAAAGCGTCCGAGTCAGCTCTGCTGGTTGATCTAAAAGTGGCTCCTTTTTATTTCATGTTTTAGTTTATTTAACACGAGTCATCTTGTAAATGTGACTCATTTAGTCACGCAGCCTCATTTTCATGAACCTCAAACGTCATAATTCTGGACAAATAACTGCTGCAAAGAATGAAAATATAAAAATCTCAAAGTCAGGACATTTTCAGCACTGAAGTCCACATTTCTGCACTCAGACCGAAGCAATTACCCACAATCCTTGTGTTGTGACGTTAAATAACAGGTATACCAGACACTTGAGCTGCATTCCAAATCACTTTTATTTTTAGTACAAACTGCAGCTGCTCTTAACAGTCTGAACGGTTGAAAGCACAGTCCAACAGTCCGTGAGGGTTTCAGGCCGTTGAGTGTTGAAGGACTCTCTCTCAAAGGCATTTTGATTTACTTTCTAGAAGTCTTGATTTGTGCAGACTTTTCCTCAAAGTAGCCACAACTCATAGCAATGGCACGTAAAACACTAGGTAACCAGTGGGGGGGGGGAAATAAAGCAGTGTTCAACCTGGAATACAAAATGTACACAAACATTAAGGGTGAAAGAATGAAACGGATGACAGCAGAGATTTTATTACATTTATTCATAAAACATTTCATTGAAGTTTTGACAACTTTTTTACATATCTCTCACCTCGAGAAGCAAAAAGCCTGGAGGACGTTCAAAATCGTAAAATATCTGAAATACCAACAACTCTAGGTGACATGTTATGACGTCATGGTAACTTGTTCCCATTTGTATTCACACCACCTGGTTATTTATCTCTGTCAAAACAGTTATCTAATGTAACTTTGCTTAAATTCAAATTTGTTTGTTTACAGAAAGTTACATAAAGTTCTGAATCAAGATGCTTTAAATACAGCTCAGGCTGTAGCTGTGTGTGGGGGGTGGTTGTACTGGTAGTGATGTTAGTGATTGGTGTTTAAGAACAATCAGCTGACAACACTGCCTGCACAGCAACCCCGGTCACATTCATCAGGAGTCAGCAACACGTCGTCGAACAGGTTTAACTTCTCCTGCTGCAGTAAAGAGAAACTTTATGTGAAGTATAAAAGTACACAACTGTATTAATGAAACATTCAAATACGAGGATCACTTCTAGAATATTTAGAAAGATTAACGTGGGTGTTTACAGGAGTCTGACAGCTTGACATTTAGGAAAATAATATTAGCTTTCATGTCTGTACGGGAAATATAGATATACAGTAACGGCTAGTTAGCTTAGCTTAGCATAAAGACTGGAAACAGGGAAACTGCTAGCCTGGCTCCTTCCATAAGAAACAAATCAGCATACAAGCTCCTCTACAGCTCGCTGATTAACACACATCTAGTTTGATTAATCTGTACAAAAACCCAAAGAGCAAGAATAATTCATCTTATAGGCCTCTGGTAGAGACCTGTCAATCATCGTGTAGCCCCGCCCTAAAGCATCCCCTGCTTTATGGTCTGTTTGACTCTAAATGGACCATAATGTACTAAATGAACATCATGCTGTATTGAAGAAGACCTGAAACTAGAGATTGAGACCATAAACTCATGTTTACAATGTTTACTGAGGTAATAAATCAAGAGAGAAGTAAAGTCATTTTCTCATAGACTTCTATACAACCAGAGGAGTCGCCCCCTGCTGGACACTAGAGAGAATGCAGCTTTAACACATGAAGCTCTGGCTTCACTGGAGGTTGCCGTCTGTCTCTTTGTGAACAAAGTAAAACTCTTCTGCCGACTTGCCGACCGCGTCCCACACAGCGTGACCTCCGTACGATGAAATTAACACAAAGATGCACTCATGTAAGTATAACTATAAAAAAAAGTGATGCATGAGTGTTGTGATCCTACCTGCTGCAGCTCTCACCGCTCTCTGACCACTGCAGGAGAAACACAACCGTCTCCACAGATACATCTAACTCTGTGTGTGTGTGTGTGTGTGTGTGTGTGTGTGTGTGCCCATGCCTCAGGTCATGCCTCGACTTGCCCCCCCGGCTGGCAGGTACGTTGCCGTGGTGAAGCAGTCAGCGGCAGCAGTAAACAAACACAAACCCATCGAGTCGCTAGGATTTGCCAGTTTTTGCTGAGTTCCATGTGACCCGCAGCTCTCTCAGTGCTTCTACTTTACGCTCTACGTTATTTAGATAGAAACGGACTTCACAATCCAAATCAAACGTGGCACGATGGTCAGAGCGGCGGCCATTTTTATGTGAATCGTTTCCAATGAATTTTAAACCGACTCACGAGTCGTGGACTCACTGAGGTTTTTTTAGAAGACAGCGTGTTATTTTTAGCGGCTCAAAGAGTTTGAATTTTGCGGATTCTTGCTCTGCTGTTAGTTAGCTTTTTAAAATTAAATATAACTGATTACTGTAAATATAGATTGTACGGATCAATAGTAGAGGTGAAAAGCTGCCCCCTGTTGGTTTGCAGCTCATGGCTACATGCTACCTATTGCACCTTTAAGATGTTTTTATACCCTGGTCCTGAGAGAAATAATATATTAACAAAGGTAAATAGACTTGGAACGATTTCCAAATGTCTTGTCCCAGTTCCTCAGGATCTTTCAGTTGTTTTTTCTTCCAGTTTTGATGCGATGAAGCCCACCTTAGAGAATAGATGACAGAAAACCACAAAGCTAATCCGTCCTCCAAAGTGGTGTTGTGTTCTCAAATCTCCTCTTAGTATCATTTAAATCACATACGGTTGAATAAAAAATACTGCAAAAAAAACAAGAAAAAAAGAAATTTGAGTTAGTAAATGAACAAAAAAAAATCACTTTATTTGAGGAGTTGTTGATGGAACTGTTGATATTCTGGAAACACTGACGATGGTTCATATTGTCCGATACGACACGTAACAACAATGTTTTCCCATCCAACATTTGTACACCATCTTTTTAAATTACAGTATCACTGTGTCTCTTTACATGTCATCTATTGATACAGTTCAGCGAGGAACAAAATTAAGTATTTCTGGTTCTCGGTGAAAAACAAACAAATTCATTATGCAACAAAAAGGTTCATCCAAGACAAAAACACAAATATGAGAAGTGTAAACACGTGAAACAGATCAAGTTTGTGGGTCCCAGAGTCAAAAGTGTTGCTCCTCTGCATCAACTCACACAGTGGAGGAGAAACTAACATGTAGAATATAATTTGGTAAAATCTGCAGCCAGTTTTGCATTTATTTAAGACCAGGCGTCCAACGTCAGAGCTGCATGAAAAGTTAAGTCGTAAAAAAAGTTATCACAGTATTTTTGTCATATTTCTCAAATACAACGAATTTGCTTTTGAGTTGTATTAAAATTAGAAAAAGCTGTGCAGCTTCTTTTTTTTAGAAGATATTCAATAAAATACCCGAAGAGAGGATTATTTACCGTCTTCAGAATTTTCTTGTATTCAAAGAACCTCATATGTTTGTAAATATTATGTATTTTGCAGCCTGATTAATGTGCATGTGTTCCCCTTTTAGATTTTGTTACTGAATAACATACTAACTGCGCATGCACTTGAAAACCTCCGCAGTGTTTCATGAAACAGCTTAAAGACGTTTATTTCTCTTATTTACCGATCAAAATAAAGACATATAAACATATATCAACCGTTGTCGTGGCTATTAAAAACACCGCGAATACCGCAATCGATTAAAATGTCATTTAAATATCAAACAACGGGCTAAGAGGACGGAGAAAGCAAAGAAAGGACGTTCGGCTGCTTGTATTTTCCTCTTTGTCATCAGTGCGTCAGCTAACCAGCCAATAGCGTGACGTCTTCATTCACTTCATTCGCCGTGCGACCAATCACATGCATCGTCCTTGCGACGTCACCCAGCGCCCGCCTCACATCCGGTCGTATATATGTTGCCACGAGTTAGCGGCGAAATTTGGAGAGTGTCCATTTTGAGCAGCGAGTCGGCGTCTCCGGTATAAATCGTTTTCCTCACACACAAAGTAAGCACGCGTTCTTTTGTTGTTTTTATTTTATTTAAATGAAGAAAACGAGGGGATTTAATTCTACAGCGCGCGCGCGGTTTAGTTCATCGCTGTTCTTTGCAATCGTCCTGCTCTATTTATACGTAAAGTGTCTTGTTTGCAGCAAACCAAGCTAGCTCTGTGTGTTAGCCGTTAACGCGGTTATTGTGCTGATTGAATGAGGCTTTAATCGGCTGTAGTACAAAATGCCACAATGTGCTTCAGACAGTTTATTGTATATTGTCCTTACTTTCTATTTTTAGTGGTTTTTTGATTCACGTTTGGCGTGCTAACTGTTAGCATGCTAGCTTGCGGCCTGCTAGCTCTGTTCCGAGCGGCAACCGAGCAAAGCGCGGTCCGCTTGAACACCTCGAACATTTTAGACTTTAATCTGATTATTGCTGCATTTTTGTTTGCTAACAAAAGCCTGAATGTGCACGTGAGTTAAAAAGTACAGAGCCGCGTGCACGGTTGCGACATTAAGATAGTTTTACGGCTGCATGAATAAGAAAGAAAACGGTAGAATTAAACCGTTACCTAGCAGATTAACAATGTGAGCATTGATGCTAGCTGTCGTTAGCATCAACTGCACGTTGTTGTTTAAAAAAAATAATAAATCCGTTACTTTTTTATAAATCAATCACAGCATGATTGCAGTTTAAGGTTCCAGATAAAAGGTGTGTATAATACAGAAAAATGCTACATAGCTCCATTTGAATGAATTTGGTCCTCAAATGTATCATGTTTTTAACAACTGGCCCCTGATCTGACCATGTGTTGGTCTTAAAGATGCATTAAAGAACAATCTTAATGTTTGTTTCCAGACATTTTCCCTCATGACAACATGTTAAAAGGACCGTATCTAGTCGTCCCCCTAACAGAATTTGTTGTGCATGCTCTTTGTCTTTTATTTACTCCTAAATCCTAAATTTTTTTTCTCGTCTCAGTCTGTTGAAGAGCCCACCGTCAGAATGGCAGACGCAGATAATCTCCTCATGGAGACATCGGACCAGAACGGCAACGATGGCGAGGAGGAGGAGGACCAGAACGGTGCCGAGCAGGAGCTGATGGCCGGAGAGGAGGAAGAGGAGGAGGACTGCCAGGATGGCCTGGAGCTCCAAGAGGACATCCAGGAAGACATCCAGGACAACGGAGCCGAGGGTGCCGACGGAGCCGAAGGAGCTGATGGAGCCGACGGAGGAAAGATCGACGCCAGCAAAGGAGAGGAAGACGCTGGGTGAGTGTTGGGCTGCAACACTTTATCGATGAAGATATTTGGTGCAGAATCTGGTCGTCAGTTAGTTGGGGAATGTTATGATTGATGAGCGAGACAATGGTGGGCGTTTGTAGCTCATGTGGGCACAAATCTGCAGGTCAAGTTAACGCTGATGAGCTCGAACAAGGTCTGGAAAGACCGTTTCACGCTTGTAAATACACTTTCTTAATGTGAACGTCATGAGCTGGCAGGAAGTAAACAAGGACCCGAGCAGTTGCTTAGCAAACTGTGGAAATGGTGTAAAATTATGGAGATTTGAGTGTTTTATATCCATCATTCAGAGACGGAAGAGTTTATTACCAGATCAATAATCAATTACTTAAAGTAATTCAACGATTAATGGATCATCAGTTCATGTCTGAGACCCGTCACACTCATATCAGCAAGTTTGTTTTCTAGTAAAACAAAATCTTCAATTTTGGCTGAATTAAACGAGGGATGTCAGGAACCCCGTGACATTAATAACAGGATAATAAAAACAAAAGTATTACTACTCGACCATGTTCTTGTGCATGAACTTCTGTCAAGTGCAGATGGTGGAAGAGAGAGGTTTGAGTGAGACTGTAAATAAGTGTCTTTTAAAAGCATTAACAGCAAGGTGTCCGTGTGTTTGCAGGAAAATGTTCGTAGGCGGCCTCAGCTGGGACACGAGTAAAAAGGACCTGAAGGATTATTTCAGTAAGTTCGGCGAGGTGTCGGACTGCACCATCAAGATGGACTCCAACACCGGCCGGTCCCGAGGCTTCGGCTTCGTCCTCTTCAAAGAGGCCGCCAGCGTGGAGAAGGTGCGTCACTCTGAATCATCGTCCCTGTGATCGATTTAAGAAGTACAGACGTGATTAACACGCTGAACACAGCAGTTTAGGATGCATTCAAGGACCGACGTAATCTCACAGTGGGTTCTTTCTTCAGCTTCTGGCTGTGATTAACGGTCGTTTTTGGGATTGTTTAAAGAAAACATGCTTTTCAATCCTACCAGCAGGTCTTTGGGTTCAGAGGTTGACAACTGGTTCTTTATGTTATTTTAAAGGTTGTGGTTTGAATTGTGTGCAGAACATTGTTTTAATACACAAACCGCAGACTCAAAGAAAAGCTTTTGCTCCCAGAGATGTCTGATAAGAATGTTCAGACTAGAATCCAAGTGATCTTAATAAGCATGCACAGACCGTGTCATTGTGTTGCTCAGAAGAACTTGCAGTGTGTTGGCATGCTATGCTAACTTTAGTAACTGGTCTGCAGGTGCTGGAGCAGAAGGAACACAGACTGGACGGACGTCCGATCGACCCCAAGAAGGCGATGGCCATGAAGAAGGAGCCCGCCAAGAAGATCTTCGTCGGGGGGTTGAACCCCGAGGCGACTGAGGACGCCATCAGGGAATACTTCGGGGCTTTCGGAGAGGTCGGTTTTACTCGATGGAGACAAATTAATTAGCAGTTAAATGGACACAAATGTAAACTCGTGCATTGTTATAATACAGACATTTGAAGGGAAACGGCCATGTTGTTTAATTGATTAATCTTTGAGCCTCAGAGATTAATCAGTTTGCATCCAACATTTCAACCCAAATCATCTTCTTCTAGATCGAAACCATTGAGCTTCCCATCGACCCCAAATCGAAGAAGAGGAGGGGTTTCATCTTCATCACGTACAAAGACGAAGCCAGCGTCAAGAAGTGTCTGGAGAAGAAATACCACACCATCCAGGGCGGCAGGGTACGAACACGCGCACTTTTATATTTCAGCAGTTTGTTTGGTGGTTCGTGAAGGTTTTTATGTCTCGATGAGTCACCGTTGAAGCTGCCTCTGACCTTTAACCCTTCAGTCTCTAAAGCTACGTTTCCTAACAGTTCTATGGTTGGTCTCACTGACGACCTTAACGGCTGCAGAGTATTTACTGATGCACAAAGTAATGAATAGAAATGAAGAGCGGATCATCTATTGAGTGTTTGAAGGTTATTTATTTGTGCTTTAGAACGTAACGTCGTGAAACTATCAGAAAATATCCCTCTTATTCGTCGTCTCGGCTCTTTCTAAATGACTCGACAGCAAAGATAAATGCTCTTCCTGCTTCCTTAAAATGCTCCTTAATGGATAATAGATCTGGTGACGTTAGCAGCACCGCTAACGTATAGAGGTTCCATTATGATTAATCTCGTAAAATGTAGTTTTTTGGAGAGAAACTTGAATAAATCCAGTAGTTTGAAGGCGATGTTTAAACGATATAAAATAGATATTGGAGATGAATTATGAGCTGTTTAACGCGCTCGACACAGATTAAAACGCATCTTTAACTACTAGTGAGAACATTTGTTTGAATTAATAAAAATACAATCGCTTATTTCCTTAATATTTTGAATTGTGGGTTTGTTTATGATAAAAATAGACGAACAATGAAAAAGGGAAACATTTGGAATATTTGATGGTTTAGAGCAGTGGTCACCAACCTTTTTAAGCCCAAGATCCCCGACCTCTGCCTTGGTGACAGGCAAGATCTACCTATTGAGGCGTTGAGAGAGAAAAAGACTGTCCAGACCAGGAGCGTTTCTAGGATTCAAGGAAAGGGGGGCTTAGCTCCAAGGGGAGTGTCATGTTTGCGCACGGCAATTTGGGGCCGCGAAAATCCATTGTTTCAGACAGTTCATAGATTGGTTCAATCAGAAAGAGTGTGATTTTGCTCTGTAGTTTTGCTTGCATTCAGTATATGACAACACAAGAGACAGAATTTCAGGGTCATAGTGAAATTTGACAACACAAATATGAACTTTTCTCAAATAAAGAGAGAAATAATTTTCCTGCTTGTAAATGAAAGACGGATAAACTAGCTTTCATATCCGCGTCACTGCCAAATCCTAATTCTTAAAGGGACCGCACACAATGGATGGAGAACGGACCTGACGGTGTCAACTTCTGAGTTGTTTACTTGTTTTATTATGAGCAGAAGGAATAAGATTTTGATCAACATTTACATCTATTTTGTTATCCGTGTAGTTTTTACATACCAGTGATATTTTATGCTCATTTGGACACTATCACTGAGATAAAGATGAACTAGTTCAGTGTCTAATGTACCATTCAATGGAGAGAAAAAACATGAATAACAAAATAAAACACATTTCAAGTACATCTTAATTATCGAATGATAAATATTGTATGATGGGCTGAAATGGAAGGCACCCAATGCATTCACTATAATCAAGTGAAACTAGGATTACAATGTACCGAGAAAAACACTATAGGACGAGATCCGGACAGGACTTTCCGCTTTGACGTGATTTTAATCAGTCTGAAGCTGCTATCGCGTTGCCTGTGGAGTCTGTCGATTGTGCACACGTCTCTTCAGTTGCATGCCCTTATAAGGAGCTGCTGGGGTATTTCTGTATGCAAATCCAGGTGCACGAGAACACGCGTTCAATTTAAGAATCCTCATTCGGGGAGCACAGCTGAGAACGCTTCGGCTGTGTAAGAACCCATTTTCAGGCGTTCATGAATCAGGCGGAGATCTTTTCTGACGTTGGTCTTCCGAAGTCCGGAAGAAAACACTTCAGAAAATGTTCGAGAATGAGGCCCAATGTGTTTCTGAATTTATTTTTATTTTATTTTGGAGAGCGACAGGGAAAGACTCCGAGATCGACGGGTTGGCGACCACTGGTTTAGAGACGCGTCTAACGCCCTGTAGACCAGCTGCTATAAGAAGAGTTTTTTAACACCTTTTAAAAGAACAAATTCTTTTTTTAAACCACACTCTTGTTTGTGCTTGACTTCTACTACATGCGTAGTAGCTCTGCGGACGACCTCTGTGCATGTAAATAATCAAGTGTTTGTTCCACAGTGTGAGCTGAAGATCGCTCAGCCTAAGGAGGTGTACCAGCAGCAGCAGTACGGAGCTGGACGTGGTGGTGGAGGAGGAGGAGGAGGTGGCGGCGGTGGAGGTTATGGAGGCCGGGGTGGTCGAGGAGGACGTGGAGGTGAGAAATAAAAAAACCTGTTTCACGTCTCCACTAGTAGATGAGCTTCCTCTCATTCGGTTACATTTTACCGGCTGGATGTCCATGAAGAACAAGCCCTTTTCCCCACAAAAATGGCTTTAATAACAACTTTATTAATCTACGAAGGTTATTTGATTTTGGTAATAAAAAAAACGAAACAGTTCTGCACAGACGGACATGTACAAGACTGATAGAACAAGTAGAAGTCATAATGAAATGTCATAATGAAATGTAAGAAAGGAGAAGTGGGTTATATATAACGGTGTACTTTAACGTTCATCATTTTACCCCAAAAATAACTTTGAAGTTAGTTTTCATGTTGTTACCTGATTAGTAAATGTAAAGGTCTGACATCAATGTGACTCAACGTGTTGAAGCCGGAGTTTGACTTTGAAGTTCTTACTTCTCAGACGCTGGAGCAGAACAATAGCACACGGGTGAACGGGTTATAGGTTCACAGTCTTTAGACTAACACCTCCATGTGGACTGTCTCAGGTCAGGGTCAGGGCTGGAACCAGAGCTATGGGAACTACTGGAACCCCGGATACGGTAACCAGGGCTACGGCTACAGTGGATACGGTGGCTACGGCAACTACGACTACTCTTCTGGTTACTATGGATACGGGCCCGGATACGACTACAGTGAGTACTCACAAGGTACTGAAAAACCCCAAATCTTCTTTCTATTTTATATACTGTGAAAACATCTCCGGTACTCATTTTTACTGAGCAGAGCTTGAACGCATCATGATGACTAAATGCTACGTTAGCCGTTGGCTTTGTTGTTTAGCTGCTAACTGCTAACGTTAACTAGCTCTCCTTTCAGATGTCAACGATGTGTTTATGTTCACGTGTTTTTTGTAAGATATTTGATTTCACAGGTTTTCAAAGTTTCTCTGGTTTGTTGTCACGTGACTGTTGGTCTCAGATGAATCAATCATGACGTCATAGCTTCACTGAGGAGCTCACAATTTAATGTTTTTACACAATCTGGCTAAAGATTTTAGATGAAATGTGCAGAATAAAATGTCTTTGATTTAAAAATCACAATTTCAAAGCTTCTTTTCAGCTTCTTCTGACTGAAGCGTTTATCACACATGATGTGTTCAAGGGCTGTTGGGCAGATGAAAATCTGTCTATAATGAAGTTTTTTTTTTAATGGCCGGTGAGATTTGTGTCTGACCCGTTTACCCCCCCACAGACCAGGGCAACGGCAGCTACGGGAAAACTCCAAGACGGGGGGCACACCAGACCGGCTACAAACCATACTGATGATCACAGGAAGCGCAAAGGTATGTCACCGTACCTTTAAGTAAACACTTAAACCACAACTACATGAAGTCATGGTTCAGGTTTCACGCTCTACACACAACATAGGTCCATCAGAGTGTAAAAGTTTTATCGTTAACCATCACAGTGTAAATAAAGTTTTACTGACTCAGTAGAACATGTGTTTCTAGTCTCTGATCGTGTTTCATTGTAAACAACCAATCGGTGTTTAAACCAACAGGAGGAGAGCTAGTAACGTTAGCAGCACCGCTAACGGCTAACCAACAGGAGGTTCACTTCAGTTACATTATGATGCCTTCAGGCTCTGCTCAGTGAACATGAGTACTGGCTGAAGGTACATTATAACGTTGTCATGATGTGTTCACATGTCATCTGTAAAATGTAGTTTTGGTGATGAACTTGAATAAATCCAGTAGTTTGAAGGAGATGTTTTCACGTTAATATAAATGGATATTAGAGATGAATTATGAGCTGTTTACCTTCCTAACACGAGCTCTAAGCTCATAATATTTCAGTAACACTAATCATGAGATTTGTTTTAATCAATAAAAATACAATCCTTTATTTCCTAACTATTTGAATTGTGAGTTTTTATGAAGAAAAAAAACACTATAAATTACTAAAACCAAAAGTATAATTTGTATTTTTGATTGTTTAATGACTTCGAAGCGTTGATTATTTTGGGATGTTGGAAAAATGTATAAATATTCTGTATCGTTGTTGACCAGCTGCTGTAATCAAAGGATCTGTATCTGTTAATATGGATCAATAATAATTGGTATCGGCTGCAGAAAACATAATCGGGAAACTAAAACGTATTTTTGCTCCTTGTTCCCTCAGAAAAACCTAACCAACAATAAAGGTTTCCTGTTACACGATGTCTGATGGTTATTAAACTGAATACGTGTGTTCCTCAGGACTCCAGTGATCCAGAGACCGACGGCTGGATGGACACACTGGTGATGACTCGACCTCTTTTATGACAGAAGACCATTTGTACAGAACACATCTGAAATGTAACTTTTTTTTTTTTTTTTTTTATCCTTTCATTTTTAGGTTTTACTTTTGTCCCTTTGATGTTTTTTGTTTTCTTTTTGTTTTCTTTTCTCGTCCTCCTTCCACATTTCCATCAATGGAAGTGTAATTTTTACTGTACTTTTTGGTACCTGTTTTGATTCTAATGTATTGTAAGGCTTGTATTTTACATGTTTGCTGGCTTTACAGGTTGAAAATCTTGGCGCTGTAAAGGAGCTTTTTTTGACAAAATAAACAGTTTTCAGTAATTTTTTTTTTTTTTTTGGATGCTTCCAGGTTTTCGGGGGTGAACGTTATTGGAACAGGTTTAGGATTTGATTTCAGTTATCAACATTTTTTTCCCTCTTGGTCTTTTGTCGCCACACAACCTGATGATCTGTAACGAAGGAACATGAAATGTTTCACGGCCCTTCGTTTTGGTATTTCCCCCTCTATGGTGAACCCGGTGTACCGCGATCATTTTTAACTCTTATTATTCCTTAAATCTGCAACAACTGCCTGCACGCTTATTTCCTCCAGGACGTCCTGAATTCACGAAGGTATTAAAAACATCTGGAGAGCTCACAGATGATGTAATGCGGCGGGGGGGGGGCTTAAAAAAAAAACTAATTATTCGGCCTCATGCACCTGTGGCATGACTTCCTGTTTAAATCTACATACCTTTTTACATAACAAGCAACTTGTTTAAGTTTCTATGCTGGTTTAGTTTGTGTTTTTTGTCAAGTGTCACTGGTTTTTTAGAAGTAACCGCTTTGAAGTTAAATGTCTGCGTAGATTTTTCTTTTGTTTTTTGTCTTTACAGACTTTCAGAACACTGGAGTCTCCTCAAGCTAGTGTCTCTGGCAATTTATTAGTAATAAACATTCTCGTTTGTAATATTTTGTGTACTTCTAATGCTTAATGTTACTGTTAATTGTGGTACCTGAAGAAGAGAGAACTAGCTTATTATTTTTGAATTCTTAACACTTAAAGAGTAAACTACACTTTTTTTTTTTTAATTTTTTTTTTTTATTACATCAATTCTATTAAATAATGCGATTATTTGAGCAGAGCCTAAAAAAAGGTTGCGGAGCATAAATTTATGAATTTAAGAAGTTTAAATTGATGAATTCAATCATTGGAAAGTGAGTTTGGTTTAAGGAAGGTTTTACCACCAAGATCAATAGATGGCTGTGTGTGTGGGTAAAGTCTTTGGTTGTATGAGCTTATAACTTATAGTTGTCTGATATAAAACAGGTCAGTGAACGCCCCTCTGGAGAATCTTGGTCTAAAGGAGACGACTAAGAGTCCTCACTAGAACACTAGTCGTCCTTTAGCTTAGTGGAGACGTGTAGTCATGTGACCGTGGAGGAGTTCCTTTATAGACCATTAGCTTTTTTTTTTTTTTTTTTAAAGGAGTTCATTAGTGAAGATTACTCAACTCGTACTGAGCAAATATTTTATACCTGTACAGTTAGAGGTATGTTCTCATCTGGCTGGATGGAGATGATCATATGCACTCTGTGGTTATGAGTTTATAAATAAGTCATTTAGATGGTTATTATTCAGTGTTGCATGAACACACTGCTGTTTAAGAAAAGACATGAGGATTTCTGTCCCAAAGAGGACATAGTGTACTTTTACACATAGCAAAGCGGGTCGAGGGTTCGAACCCTGCTGCCGGCTGGTGCCTTCAGCTTTCTTCAGGGTCCTCTTGCTTCCTCCGTTCAGGTTGATTAAAGCTTCTTTATTTGCATCCTTCAGTGAATATTTTTATAAATAAGTAGATTGAACACCCGTTGATCTGAGACTGATTTGCGGATGAACTCATGATCACGTTTATGATTGTTATAACTTTTATCCACATTGTCTCTCGTGCATCGACGCTTTTAAGTGTCCATGAATGCTACATTAAAAAAAGCACTTTTCTACATACATACTGTTAAACATCTAGAAACTGATTTCTGAGTCATATATTAAATCGTATAGGAAGTAGTTGCTAGTTAATTTAGATTAATATTGTAAAATATACATTTAATTGGAATAAAGTGTCCATGAACACCTCTGTAGTCATGAGTTTCCGTAGTGTAGTGGTTATCACGTTCGCCTAACACGCGAAAGGTCCCCGGTTCGAGACCGGGCGGAAACACGTTTTTTCTCAGCCTCTGATTGGCTAACCGTGACGTACTGATTGACTTTTAACCAATACCTGCCATCTACCCAATAAAGCCTTCGAGTACCAGCCAATCAGAGACCGAGTAGGTGGCGGGCCGTGTCATCACCTAGACATGGTTCGCAATTTCGACGCAGCACCTGACACATGTCCCGGCGCAAAAACGAAACTTACCACAGTAACGTTAGCTCAAGGATGACGGACGGACCATTTTTAATGGCGGCTGAAGGTAATTAACGGTTAACGCCACGTCATCGTCGAATGTGACCGCGTGGAGGCTAATTATCACCGCGCGCTGTGGACGGTACATTAAGAAGCTAAAAACGATATATTCACGGCTAATAGAGCTAGCATAACGTTTTAATATGTAAAGGTATCTTTAGCTGTTGACACTGACGTTAGCTACATGCTAATTGATTAGCTAACTAGTTAGCTTAGCTAGCTAAAGTTGTTCATTTTTTAGTGTCTGTCTCGTAGATTTTCATTAAAATATATGTCCTTAAGTTTTTAAATATATGAGTTTAAGTCTGTTAAGTTTTGTTTGTTCAGAAATGTAATAGTTATATGAACTGGGTGTCTGTGGTGACATGTCTTACAGTTTTTCTTTAATTCATATGCTTAAAATGTGTCATAACATGTTAAAAAGCTTGTTAGTATTGACTCCTGCTGATAAACTCTGAGCACTATTCAATTGTTGGATAAGATTAGATAATCCTTTATTAGTCCTGCAGTGGGGAGATTCACAGGATTACAGCAGCATATTGGAGTATATATATATATATATATATATATATATATATACAGTAAAGTGCAAACAAGAGACATAGTAAAAAACAAGTGTTATAAATAAGTAATAATAATAAAACAGTAAACAATATAAAATAAGTAAAAAAGTAAAAATATCCACAATAACTAAAATATTATATACAGACAGAATATTTATATTGCACAGATTTTTAGTGTGTTTTGGTCTTTGAAGGAAAAAAATGATTACTGATATATAGCGTTACGTTAAAATGTGGATGTATTAAATGTCACGTAGTGTGATTAAGATAAGATAACCCTTCATTAGTCCTGCAGTGGGGACATTTACAGGATTACAGCAAAGTGGAAACAAACAAGAGACGTAGTAAAAAACAAGTATTATAAATGAGTAATACAACAGTATATACACAGACAGAAATCTTTAAATCTTAACATTACTGGTAACACATCTGTCATATCCGACAGTAAACATCAGTTTTAAACGCTGGTGGTACACATTGCTCTTGACAAAAACTCGGAACTCGTCTGTCTTCACGGTTCATCCACAATTAGTAATAAAAACACATCGTCTCCCGGTCGGGGAATCGAACCCCGCTTCGGCCGCAAAGCACGCTAAACTGCTGTAAATAGGTTTTTCCACTTATTTCCTATGCCAAAGTTAACACACTACAGAAGTATTATATTTTAAAGCTCTAACAACTATAAATAGACTTGTGCCCCTTCCTCTGGGACTGTCACAGTTTCACTTGTGTATTATTTTAACTGCATCTAGGTGTCCATCATAAATGTTATAAATCCCTTAAAGTCGGTTTAATTAAATAACTAACTGTATCACGTGAACCTTCTCAAAATAATTGCAGAAGACTAGTAGAGTGCAGTTTTAGAACATATGATTACAGTCTAGATGCTAAAGTGTAAATTACATTGTTTCTGTAACATGTCAATTGTACATTGTTTAATAAACGTTTTTAATATTGTGTACAGTGTCAGAGGAACAGACCATGTTCTCGATAACCATCACTGCAACCACCGACTCCACAGAGAGCTGAAGGTAAGTGTTTTTAATCACACACTTATAACCAGAATTAATTTTAAAACCATGAAAACTAAAGTACAATAGGCGCAACAGCGACATCTGGTGGACAAAATAAACAGGTGCATGAGGTGCAATGACTAAACAGAAACCGTGAAAATTATACCATTAAACAAAGGAAAATACATTCCTGCAGAAGACAATATAACACAAATAGATTGCCTTCTCTCTCTCTCTCTCTCTCTCTCTCTCTCTCTCTCTCTCTCTCTCGAGGGACTTAAAAGTAGTTAAAAATGTGTTACATTTGTGTATATATGTTTCAGAAAGTCCAAATTGAAACATGGGTTCCATTTTTAATACACATACCCATTTTTGTATGTCTTTACAGACATACAAAAATGGGTATATATTATATGACTGAGACATGTATTAAAATTGGAACCTATATGTTGACATGTGTCCTTCCTCGTTAGTATAGTGGACAGTATCTCCGCCTGTCACGCGGAAGACCGGGGTTCGATTCCCCGACGGGGAGAATTTATTGTTTTTTTCTCTAGATGCGTAATATATTTATGCATTAAACGCTTAAATTAAACGACATTTGGACTTTAGAAAACATATATACCCAAATTTAGTACATTTTTAACTAAACATCGAACAAAAGGTTCGGAAATTAGTGTTTGGTAGATTATTGGTAGATTATTTCTCTGTTGTAACAATGCTTCTTGGCAATCAATTGTATACCGTTGGAAAGCCTGTTTATTTACCTTTCAAACGGTGCCCCATTTGTAAGGAACATCCATTTGTGGGATGAGCAGCACAGCTGAGTATGTGGGTTGCGCCCATGAAAAATTTGCCAAATCTTCTCTGCCAATGCCAAATGTATGTTTACTTATAATGCGAAAAACACTAAATGTTTGGGCAATGTATTTCTTTGATTTGTTTATGTGGACTCGTGAGTCTGTATTCTTAGACATGTGTCCCACGTGTTGCATACTTAAACAAAACTGGATGCTGTGAAGACATACAAATTAATTTAAATCGATTTATCTTTCACCCTTTAGTTGTGCATCGTATCATTTAATCCAGAGGTCCCAACCTTTTTTGCACCACGGACCGGTTTCATGTAAGACAATATTTTCACGGACCGGCCTTCAAGGTGTCGCAGAAAAACACGACGAAATAAAATGATACGATCGGCATGAAAACAAATATGAAATGCATAAATAAATACAACTCACAATAACGCTGAATCAGTGGGAGCCCTGAGCTTGTTTCTCTGCAACGAGACGGTCCCATCTGGGGGTAATGGGAGACAATGACACCCGAAGTCTGTTCCTTATGTCCAGTCTACTTCTTAATTTGGTTTTGATTGCCGTCACTGCAGAACATCCCGCTTCACAAAGAGGATGTGTGAAATGGAAGCAGGGTTTCAGTGCTTTAGTGGTGATCTCAGGATATTCAGCCTTGATGTTAATCAAACACCAGCAGAGTTGCTGTCTCAAACATACTTTCAAGGCCACCGTCATTTACAATCTCCAGCAGCTGATTTTCCTCTCTCGCCACATATTATGCAGAGCGGGTTTGGCGCATCAGAATTACTCCTGATATTTAATCAGACTCCTGATATTGTCTGTTAAATGAAGCTTTCATTGTCTTGGAAGTTGTAGGCTATTTTTCTGAGCCACAGGCGGATGGAATTGCGACAGAATTCGGTCATTTTTCAAAATAAAACTTCTTTCAGACTCTGATAATCAATAAAACGGAAATAATATAATATTTATTCTTTCTGTGCAGCCCGGTACCAAATGATCCACGGCCCGGTACCGGTCTGCGGCCCGGTGGTTGGGGACCACTGATTTAAGCCCTTCGATATCCTAGAACAGGGGTCTTCAACGTTTTTTAGGCCAAGGACCCACAAACTGACA